CATCATCATCATCATCATCATCATCATCATCATCATCACCACCACCACCACCACCACCACCATCATCATCGTCGTCGTCGTCGTCACCATCATCGGAACTGATACTAACACCGCCATTCGTCAGTAGCAGTAGCAGTAGCAGACGCAGTAGCAGTAGCAGCAGCAGCAGCAGCAGCAGTAGCAGACGCAGTAGCAGTAGCAGCAGCAGCAGCAGCAGCAGCAGCAGCAGCAGCAGCAGCAGCAGCAGCAGCAGCAACAGCAACAGCAGCAGTGAGGAATGACGCTAACTCAAGTCGCGGCTCATTCGACTGAACCCAGCCATATCTTCAAGTTTGATGAGGCCGAAATTATCGCAAGAGGTGACAACCGCGTGAGCCGCGAGCTGCCTGAGTCATGATTCTCCGACCCCCAGTCGAACAGCAAGCGCAATAACCTCCCGGTTCCATATTCTGTGCCGAGAATTCGACTGGTTAGAGTAATTACCCGTGCGGAGGGACGAGCAGGCGACCGACATTTCCAATCAAAGCGATCCTATTTGCCGAGTAATTATCACATCAAGAATCCACAACTAACGACTCGATTGCAGACAAACAAGTCATCATCGCATCAATTACGTGTCGTAACGATGACTGCGCAACTGCAAATTAAAGTAGGCATGTGGCCGCATCGCAACTGCGGCCAATAAATACTGCACTCGTTTCGCAACCACCTTCTTTATCTGCGACTGTCTCTGATGCTAGGTTCGGGTGAGAATCCGAAACATCGGGCCACTAAACCTCTTGTGCCTGCGATCGTATCTTCTTCTTCTTCTTCTTCTTCTTCTTCTTCCGACCTGACTATGGTGCAGAATTGAGTTCCGCGAAGAGGTAGGCGCAGGCTCATGAGACCTTCTATTCAACTGGAGAGGCCTCACCCATTCCCTATCACTTTACATGAGTTCTGGTGCCCGTCATGCAACAACAACTCTCACATGAAGCCGCAAGTAGCCGTCTCGGCTAGAAACGATTTTTAATAGGAAGGCACTTGGTCAGGAATGTAAAAGACATCTGTCATACATTGATATTTTGGCAGATTTTGACTAATTCATATTGACCCAACTGTGAAAAACTCGGCGCCTCGGTGGGATTCGAACCCACGCAGTAAGGGGGAAGGCTTTAGTACAGCCAACGCTCTAACCACCTGAGCTACGAGGCCCCGCCGGACGACGCGAGTTTAATCACATTTGGGTCAAGTTACCCGCCCAACCTACTGCAACGTCTGGAATCCACCAAATCTGATACAGTAAGTTGACTGCTCAAGCAGGATTTCCTAAGTAATTCACCTAGAATCCACCAGATGACTACCAGGCTCGCGTAATTCATTGATATTTTGGCAGATTTTGACTAATTCATATTGACCCAACTGAGGCGCCGAGTTTTTCACAGTTGGGTCAATATGAACATCTGTCATAATCAGATAAGTACACCCGACCCTATGCAGCATCATATCTGCCCAGCGCCGGCTGAAGCCGCTTTAATTCCCAAAACTAGATATATCTTTCTCAGGATAGGTACACACAAAAATGCGGGAATCATTTACTGGAACATCTAAGTCTTCTTTTAATAATATGATATTACTTAGGTCAGCTTGTCAAATTGCAAAATAAGACAAGCAAGCTGATGTTGGCCGGTATGAGTATCATTCATGCGATCCACCGTTGTCCTAATATCTCTCGAAAGCCCACTTTACTTTAGTCTTACATATGTGTGGAGTTCATGGTGCCTATACACGGTTTTTTAATTTCCCCAAACAGAAACCCGAAAAATATATGTTCTTGGGCCCATTTTGCCTGCAGGCACATCATGTCTGACTATAACTCAGGGATAGGGCTTTGTTATAATCGTAAAATATATCCACTACTTCACCTGGAAGTTGCCCAGTTGTCTATGATATAGTTGTCTTGAGACACATTAGCTGTCTCCTTGGTTTGTTTACCAGACATGCCACTTAATAATCCTCACGGAGCACCAACTGTTAAATGCGACACTTTAGCCTGTCAGATCTTACTGGTCCACCTAGGCCATGCACTCAGTGATCCTAAAATGATTTGATATAGAATAATGCCTGCGAAGAAGATGAACGCGCGATCCCTGGGACAGTACATATATTAGTCTGAGCCTTCGGTCACGTACAGGAGGCCATCATCAGAGACTGTGAGAGTGCAGCGTCAAGTGAGCAGTTTTGTAATCAAACAAAGAAGGGGGGGGGTAGGAGTGGAGGGAATGGTGTTTGCGATAAGGCTGAGTCCACGCCGTCTCACGGCGGAGTGACTGAGTGCACCTTGGCTGGGAATTGGATCTCGCCTCTTGGCTGCGAGAACGAAGCGCATGATGGCGGGGGAGTATATCAACGGGTCTGTTGATGGAGTTGGTGTCAGACACCCAGGCCCCCAGCAGTTCTCGCCCTGACTTGTTGCTGGCTCTCGCCATTATCCGCGTGCTCGCGAAGTTGAATTCGTGGCTTTCTTCCAGGGTGTGGGTGGCACTCTCGCAGTCTCTGATGATGGCCTCCTGGACGCGACCGAAAGCTCAGACTAGTACACGCAGTGTCCCAGTGATCACGCGTTCATCTTCCTTGCAACAAGAACCCGGGACTCGCATATTCGCTTTTGTTCGCGGAATAATTCTTGTTCTTATCCAGCCTTGCTCTTTTGGTTGATCGTGCATGCTCATGAACAAAAGCCAGTAGAACAATGAATAACCAAGCTACTTTATCAAGCAAAACAAGCGCTGAGTGAACAAACGACGACAACGACAAGAAGAACAACCCGAAGTCTGGAGGGCTATTCCTTACATTAAAGGAATTTCCGAGGCGATTTCACGACTGCTTCAACTCGTCAGGGTAGGCATTACCCATCGGCCCAGGCAACAATTCGTCGCGTTTGAGGCAACCGAAAGACATACTGCCCCCCACTGAAACCTCACCAGTTGTCTAATAAATACATTGTAACGATAGAGACTGCAACTACGTTGGGGAAACCGGACGGAACTTGCAGACCCTCCTACATGAACACAAACTGGCAACTCGGAGAGTAGATCCAAACTCACAGCTTGCGACTCACATCGGAGAAACTGGCTACAGTTTTGAGTTTGAAGGAGCAACCGTCCTAGGCCGGGGCACCTCAAGAACAGAACCTCTCACATACGAGGCTTGGCACTCAGATGCCAACTTCATCAACAGGCCCCCAGACCTTCCTACGGCCTATAAAGTCCTACGTCACTACATACACCATGACCAGGACAAGACGGTCACACGCAGCTTAAGACTACTGAGCAAGCACGGCCCATCGACCAATTCGCCCAAAAGGGGGGGGGGAGCACAACCGCAACTGACCCCAATTAAGGTGACGACACACAGCACAGGAGACCACCAACATTCACAAACGACGGTCGGAGGGCCAAGGCTGCGAAAAAAGAAAAAAATCAGTCAGCCCGGGGTCAGCTGATTCGGCCGTTTATTTGAAATTCTGGTCGACTTTTGCACTAAACACTTTGATAACGGAGAGCCAGCCAAACTTTTCGAAATTTCAGAAATACAATTCCCTTGATGTCGTAAGCACTTCATTTTTCTCAGAACAACACTTCGCCAACCCTTGCGTGCATCGTCTGCAAAGTCACAGTGTCCGCGCTGTCAGGAGTTAAATGCTGACCCCAATGCTCTGGATTTCGGACTACAGGGCATCGTTACAGTCAGTGACCGGTCTCATGAAATGTTATCCGAACTTCTAAAATACGTTTTCAAATAGGGAGAAGTGCTCTAGCTGGGTTGTCATATTATCTTGCAGCACAAACCCAAAACGTTCCAGACAGGCCGGGATGTT